GGACTGGCACCTTTTTCTCTAGCAGGGGCACAGGGACTGTGATCTGGGAGCCAGCAAATGTCTGAAGGGAGTGTTCAACCAGTACGCGACCCAAGAAAAAAAGTTAAGTGTTGAGATTTATTACATGTGTATTTCTTAACAGCATCTTAGCATAACTGGGTCAGTTATCTGGGAATCAGCTCATGTGTGCCTGGGAGGGGGGACATGTGCATGGGGCTGCTGGTTCTGTGCTGCTCAACATGTCACCTGCCTGGGAGAGAATGAATGTGTTTATCCCAGTGCTAAGGAAAGAAGGAAAAAAGAACAAGTCAACCTTCCACAGCCAGCTGATTATGCATTTTCCACATCAAATTGTCAGCATTTTTTCAATTACTTCACTCATTACAAGTGTGTTCTTCAGCCACTAATCCAAAACCCCTCCCTGCTGCTGTCAGCTCCATTAGAAGTGACACGTTCCTTCCTCAGGTGAAAAAGCTTTTGTGGAAGGCATCTCCTCCCAGAACAGGGCTTGGGGCTGCTGGGGGAACACAGCCCTGCCCTGGGAAGGGAGATCCTCTCCCTCTGCTGCCCTCCTTGGGCACAGAAATCCACCCAGGGACTGGGGTGAGACCTCCAAGGGGTAGCAGGAGCTGTTTTTAGAGCCAGACACTCTCTCAGGCAGGAATTAGAGGAATTCACAGGGCTCAGCCAAGGATACAGAGGAGATCCCCAGAGCCAAAACTGTATATTCTCCAAACACTTCCAATTTAATAGTAAGTTAAAAGAAAGTTCCCCTTCTGAGGGGTTGTTAATTATAGATCCCTCCTTTAAACAGTCCTCCTGTTTTTATCCATGCTTACACCCCCACAGCTGGTAAAGAGGAGGAAAGCTCTACCTTCCCCAAAAAAATCAAATACATCCGAAATGCTTCCTGAGCTGATTCACTTGGCTGGGCTCCTATTTGATATATGAAACAAAAGACAAGGCAGTAGAAAGCAACATATTTTCCCCGTGTCAAGGTGAAGCACTTCCCATCACCCAGCCCATCTCTGCTGGGGTTAATGCACATCAATAATATTTAAATGATCAAAGTTTTTCAGCACAGACAGTGATGGGGTTTTTTTCTGACTTGTCATGCTTGTTTTCCTTAAAGAGGCAATGACCTGCTGTAGTCAAGGCTTGCAGTTTGGCACGCAGGAGCGTTTTGAGAAGCGTTATCTCCCGAACAGAACAGCAGCCTCATGTTTCCCTGCACAACAACCTTTCTTAGCCTAAAATGCTTTGCATCCCATTTCCTTGATCTGGCTAAGTGCTTGCATGCTGAAAATCCCACCCTCCCTCCAGCTGTCCTTCTGGCAGGAAAGAGACAGCATCTTCTCTCTGGAGAGTACAGTCACTGCTCCTTTGGTTATCTAATCAGGGAGGGCAAAATTCACTCAGGGCCCTGTGAAAGCGGCTGAGCTGCAGAAAATGCATCCCGAGGTCTTGTGCGGGAGGGTGGGAGGAGGCAGCCGGGGAAGCCTCCCCTCCCAGAGCAGATGCTCTCTGCCATTTCCCCAGTAGCTTTCACAAAGGAAGAAAAATGTGGAGTACTCCAGGGACTGAAGCATTCAGCTCTTTCCTCTCCTGCTCCTGGGCTCTGCGCGTGCCTCGGAGCAGGGCAGGGTCTGCTCTGAGGCCAGGGCAGCCTGGGCAGGAGGGCAAGGAAACAAATGTCCCCCACCCACCCTCCTGGCCTGTGTGTGCCAGAGCTCAGTTTCTCAGGCTTTGTGTGGGTTTTCCAGCATTTCTCCTAACTACAAAATATTATGCCTCTCTGCCTTCTAAAACTCCGTGATTTTGTCTTTGCATCAAGCATGAGGAGCTGGGAAGCATAAACCTTCCCATCCTGATCAAGCTGGGAGCTTTCTTCACATTCAGCTTGGTGAGAACAAAAGGGCAGTACAAGGGTGGTGAGATGAGACAAATCCCCCCTGGAAGTGCGAAGGTTCAATCAGCCTTCACCTCATCCTCTGTAACATCCCAAACAAAAGACCTTTAAGTGACTTCCTCCCTTTTCCTGGCAAGCTTCTCCCCAGAGGTCCTGGTGGGCTGGAGAAAGCCACCACTGGAACAAGGTTTGGGTAGAGCTGTGCTTGGCAGATATCACCCCTCACAACGGGGTCTCTCGCCTGCTCCTGGGCTCGGAGCACATTTCCAAGCCTTGTGTTCCCACCTAATAAAATGCTTACTCACTTGCAGGAGGCACTTTGACGTCCTTGGCCGCACGCTGCTAGATAAGGAGCATAAAAAGAATGTATTGCTGTTATAGGGGATACAGCAATATGTATCCTCAAGTGAAATATCCTTTATAAGCCTGGTTATTATTCTGGCAGTGATCTCGGGTCGCTCTCAGCAGGCTCAGCTCAGCTGAGGTGTTAGCAACCTCATTGCCACAGTGAGTGGGGACTGCCGGGTGTCACGTTTACCTTCTGCTGTTCCAGTGCATCCTCTATCATCCCAAGTCAGGAAAACACTTCCCCCTTCTTCCATGCATGTCAAAAGCACCATTTAGGGAGCCAGATATAGCCCTGGTATAAACAGGTGGGAGCCCACATATGTCAATAGAATTACACCTGATTATAATGGGCTTACATTTGGCCCTTGAGCCCTGGGGATCCCTCTGGGAGCAGAGGCTGTATTAAATATTAAGGGCCTTATTCTCCACCCCGCCTATGCTGGAGTAATTAAATCTCCATGCAGATCCATTGATTTTCAACTGTGCTCTCCTCGTGTGAGGAGGCAGCGCTCGGAACGAGGGTGGGAGCAGAGATGTTCCCTCAAGGAAAAACACATCCATTTTTCCTCCCCACAGAAATCCCATCCAGAAGAAAACTGTACCCAACTTTAAGCGTTTGCAAAACGTGCTGGGGTAAAAGAATGCAAATGGTCTAAAATGAAAATATGGCTCAAACCCTTCCCCATTGCCTCCAGCCTGTGAGAGCAGCACTGCCGCTGCTTTGCCGCTTCCTCCAGGCTCCCGGCTCTGAGTGCCACACAATCCCTCTCCTTCCCACATCAGGACCTTCGGAGCCAGACCTGCGAGGAGCTGGGTGATTTCCCATCCTCCAAGGATCTCCTGAACCTCGGTGTAACCTTGGACAAGCCCCACAGCTGTTGCCAGCCTCTCGGGGGGGTTGAGCTCACTGGTTAATTCCGGTGCTTTGCCTGGAGCTAGCGCCTTTTACCTGTGTGTATACAAGTATTATTGCCAGCTTGTGATCTTTTGAGCTAGCAGGGCTGTGAAAAACGACTTTGCTTTTTCCTTAAATGCCACGGAGTTTAGAAGTGTGACGGCTCACACTGTGCTGTTATTCTTTCCAATTGAAACCTAATGATGCGTGCATATCACTTAACTCTGATGTCAATAATCAGCACACCACTTGGTCTTTGCCGTGGCTATTAGAAGGAATGAAAATGAAATACCAACTCCGTTTTATCCTGTTACTGTACCATAATAACTAATAAAGAAGTAATAAGTGAGACGTGGGGAATTTCCAGGGGAGTCATTACTACAGAGCAGACCTAAAGGCACAAAGTGAAATCCAGGAATATTAGCCAGCCCTGGATTCCCAGCCAGTGCTTCTCACTTAAGCTATACTGCTGCTGTAAAATAAGTGTTTACAGAAGAAGTTACTGTGTGGAAAGTATCAGACCGTGTCCTGGAGTGGAAACTGAGCCAGAATCAAAGACATCCTTGCAGGTAAAGACTACCCTGTGCATCAGCATCGCGTTTAGGCTGGGCCACAGTCAAGACACAATGCCAGCATTTCATAAATCTCACTTATGCTCCAGAATATGGGAAACATTTCCCAGAACAGCTCTAAATCACCTCTGTCTGGTTGCAGGATGAATCGTGGGTTTTCCAGGGACTCTTATATGGGAGAGGCCACCCAGAGACCTCAGGGCAATGGGTCAAAGGAAACCATATAACAAAATACTGAGTGTCTGCAGTTCAAACCACGTGTAAGATGGACAATGCATTTTCTGGCTTAGAAATCACTGAATTCTTGGTTAGGAAGGGGCAGTCGTTTTTGGGTGGTTGCATACGCAGGAGGCAGTGGTGATTCTTTGGATTTCCTCCCCATAAATGAACTGTCGTTTATCCATGAACTGTCATTTATCCACATGTCAAAAACCTGTCGCTGCTCAGCAGTTCTGTCTTCAGCAGCAGCCTGGTGCAGGGAAAACTTGGACCTTTACCTACCACAGTTTTATCCACCTTTTCCACAGCTGGAACCTCCTCTGCCCCTCAGCATGGACACAACAGAGTTGACCTAAGCAACCCCAGCTGCTTCTCCAGCGCCGTGCTGGAAGCTGCTGTCACACCTTAGCGTCCCCCACCTTCCCAAAGCAAAACCTGGTTAAATCTCACAGCACATTCCCACCAGTACCAAGCATTTCCCAGCCATCTGATTTCCCCATCTCCGAGTTCCTGCTTTGTTTATCCTATTAATTCCAACCACCCCCTCTTCCCCCAACACACACGCACGCAGCCTCATTTACAGCATCTTCACCAGCACAAGCCTCCCCAAAATATTCAGGGCACACCAAGCGAGGACTTACACGTGTGGGGAAACCCTCGTGACTGGAGATTTTTTTTTTCTCTCTCTCGAGCAAACATGAGCTCATGATTTTAATTTTTTTTTTTTTTTAAGCTCTTAAAGGAAAAAAATAAAAGAGAAGCCCCGAGGAGCGGCATTCCCGGCTGCCGTTATCCAGCCGGGGGCAGCGGGACGGCGCGGATGCTGCACCGGGAGCCGCGGGGCCGCCGGGGCTGAAGGCTCCCACTCGCAGCCTCCTCTTCCTCGGGTGCTTTTCCCTCCCTCCTCCTCCTCCCCCCCTGCATTTCCTCCTGCACCTTTAAGAAGCCCATTGCCGCCGGTGGGATGGTGTGTGCTAAAGCTGCACAGAGGAAGTTACGCAGCCGGGATCAGGCACGGAGATAAAAGCTCCGATTGTGATTGAAAGTGAGAGCAAAAGGGATTTCAGCCTCGGCATTAACTTGCCCGGGGAGCCGGGATTGCACAAAGCTCCCCCGGCCATCTGCCCTTGGGGGCCGGCGGCGCAGCGCCTGCCCGCCGCGCTGGGCAGGGCAGGGCAGGGCTGGGCAGGGCAGGGCAGGGCTGGGGGGGTGTGTTTTGGGGGTTCCCCCGGCCCCGAAGTTCGCTGCTCCGCCGGGAGCCCCTCGCCGCAGAGCTCCCTCCCGGTAAGGACCCGCAGCGCCGGGGATGGGGGGAAAGCGGGGGCGGAGGGGGGGCGGCCAGCGCCGGCATCTGCCCCGTCAGCCCCGAGCATCTGTCCCCCCGCGCCTCCCGAGTTGTTCCCCCGCTTTCCTGGGGTGTCCCGCTCTCTGTCCCCCTCCCCGGAACATCCCCGTCTCCCCGCCGCGGGATGGGGTTTATTTTCCCACTTCGGGAGTTTGGGAAGCCGGGGGGCTCCCCCAGCCCAGGCCGCCGGCTCCCCCCTCCCCGCCGAGTCCCTCCCCGGTCCGTGCAGCCCCCCGAAGTCCTTTAGTGTAAAAGAAACCGGGGAGGATGGGGCGGAGCGGGAGCGGCATCGGGTTTTGCCGGGAACCGCGAATCCATCAGGGAGAGCGGCGGGATGCGAGTGGGATTTCCAGGTTTTCTGCTGGGAGCCGCGCAGCGCTGTCGCGGGGTTCGGGCTCCCGTCCCCCCGCGGTGTCCCCAGCTTGGCTGTCCGGGGAAGGGATGGTCAGCGTGGGAAAGAGGAGGACAGCTCCGCTCCCTGAGCGCGGGGGGAGAGCGGAGAGTTCATGGGGAGAGCAACACTTCTGAGAGAAAATTAAAAACTCCTTCATTGAGTTTACTTTCTGCTCTTAATCCGAGAGCAGCTCAGTTGTTGCTCAGCGTTGTCCCTTTATTTCAATAGGGTGTTAATCCAATAATAAGAAAAAAACCCGGAGCCGGCTAAGTCAAGACACAATCTAATTTTGTGTTTTTAATACTCTGGCTATCAGTCCCCAGTGAGTGCTGAGTACTCTTCAAAGAGAACAAAGAGCATTGATTCTATTTGTTCCCATGAACTGCAGTTTCTTAATAATATCAGGTGAAGATTTATTTTCTACGAACTAAACCAAATCAAGCAGGGTGAAAGCTTTAATTTGGGGAGCCTCTCTGCCCCGTTTGCAGTATGTTGGCTCATTCCAGAGCAACACTCCAACTATTTCTGCAAAGGGACTGGACTGGCTAAGTGGGTGTTGAGCCACAGACTTCACCCCAAACCTGCTTGCCTGCTGATGGACAGACAGTAAATACATTTTTCCCAGCAAATTTTCACTTCCCTGGGAATCTGTGACATTTAGCCAGCATAACAAGACACTAATAGATATTATAGATCCTTTCTACCTGGGTTTTTCCCTGACAGCCATTCATGTGCAAGATATAATTGTTGAGGCTGTGAAAATAGATCCATAAACTTAACAGCACTGGAGTCCTCATTAAAACTACCCTGCTTGTTTTCTACACAATACCAGAGTCTCTCACTCTCGCTGTTATCAGGCACTTGGCAGTGACCAGTTTGATGTAATAATTAGGAACTGACTTGTTATAACTGAAAAGACAGCTCTGATGTAAGTAGGACTTATAAACACTGTGTCACACTGGCTTATTATTTTTACTACATTTACTCATAATATAAAAATAGCAGCCAGTCTATTCTTTTTCTGGGAGTTTATTCAGGTCCAACGCAGCTATAACAGGCTCTTCGTTGAGAGCTGGCAACGAAGCATGAGAGACAGCTTCTCTTTTCTGAACTCATTCATCTCAATCAGCAATCTTTCAAGCAAAAAGGGGGGAAAGGGAGATGGTAGCAGAGCGGTGTGAAGCCCCTGAACACGGATCAATGCATCTGTTAACCTGGAGTTTCTGAGCTTGAGTAACTGAGCTTCATGAGAAAGGAAATGCTAAGCATGCTGCTGAAGCAGATATGCCTCAATTGTGAGAGAAAAGTTGGGGAAAGAAATAGAAAGCGAATTATCCAAAGGTAAATTTCTGTTCTGGATATGTGCCTCCCACCTTCTTGGATGAGATTTCCCTCCTGAATCTAATATTGAGAGAGGGTTTGACTTTTCCCCCCTCCCCGCTTTGGTTCTTTGTCATTTTGTTTTGTAATTACTTACAATTTTTATAGCTCTACTGGAAAGACAACAAAATTGCAGAAATGTTGTTCTAACTTGAAATGAATACTGGGAAGGTCATTGCTCTTTGTATTAGGTGAACCTAAATGGTATTAGGACTTTAAATTGTTTTTTATTAAATGTTATTGTTCAGATAAATCATATGTGGGGATGCTGGACAATGTATCTGTCTCCCCAGCTGTCTTATTTATTTGCTTATCTTTTTAGGACTATCAATTTGTCTGTCTGTCCCTTCTCTGTCTGCATATTCCCCATCTTCTAATGACCCGTAGCTGCTTCTTGATATTATTTGAAGACCCATTAGAGCTCCTGTTGTCCAGCTGCTGTTGCAAAGCAGATACCTTAAATTGGGCAGCGCTCCTTCCCTTCTCCCAGACAGCAGAAAAGCCATAAGCATCTTACTATGGATTGCTTTTTATTAAAGTTGTATATCTCCCTGTTACAAAAACCTGTCTGGTGGCTTGGCAAGCCCAGCTGAGGGCTCTGCCTCCTGAGGGACTCCTGTTCTTCCTCCTGCTCCAACTGTCCCCCCTCGCTCCCACCTAACCTGTCTTCCAATTTCTCTCAGGTCCCTCCTGCTGATGAGCTCTGCCTTTGTCCTGACCATGAAAGAGAGAGGAGATCTCAGGTAGCCCCATGGATTGCAGCTGAAGGCTTTGGGAACTTGGTGCTCGTTGCCAAAAGGCAGAATTGGACAGGAATCCTCGCCACCACCACAGGACACAGCGGGAGAAGCCAAGGCCAGCCCTGCCCCAGTCACCCCCGTGACCACCCAGCACCTGCCGGGACCACCACGGATCTGGGCACCGACCTGCTCACGCTGACACAACCATCCTTTGGGAAAAAGGAATTTCAGCTCCAAGCAGTCTCTCTTGTCAGAGTTGTACTGATGACCAGATGCTCTATTTATTTTATGTGCTAATGTTCTAACACCCAAATAATTAAGGCAGACACAGTTTGAGGCACTTTCCACAGCGACGCATTTGGAGCAGACCAGAAGGTTGAGGAAAACCTGATCCAGCACCATCTCACGGCCTCCAATTTACTCCTATCAAATTTCATCAGCAGCTCAGAACTTGATCTTTGTATTGATTGACTGGAGTCACCTCTAGATATTTTCATGCTGATTTGGAAGACCTTTCGTACAATAAAAGGGGGAAAAAATGAGGTTAAGGAAGACTTTTGACCACTGATCAGCAACTCTGGCCAAAACTTTCCCAATCAAGCGAATTGCAAAGTTGGCTTCTGTGCCAAGAGGAACTTTCCAAGTCCAGATACAGCGTGCAGAGTGGGATCATCCCTGTTCCTGTCTGGATCTCCTTCGACTGGAGCATTTTTAGATGAGGAGTTTCCATGCTGATCCCGAGAGCCACCCCTAGCCCAGCAGCCGCCTTCCTCGGGACTCTCGGCACTGCCCTCGCCCAGGGATCCCGCGCTTGGCCGCAGCTGCCATGCTCTACCTGGCTGCTCTCCTCGTGCACTGCGTCCCCCTGGCCATGGGGCAGTATGACATTTGCAAGTCCTGGGTGACCACGGATGATGGCCCATCATGGGAGTTTTATGCTTGCCAGCCCAAGGCCATGCGGATGAAGGATTACGTGACCGTGCGGGTGGATCCGGCAGGAATCACTTGTGGGGATCCTCCGGAGAGGTTCTGCACCCATGTAAGTGTTTGCTCCCTTATTTCCTGGCTTAGAACGGGCTCTGCTGGTGGCTGGAGGCAGTGTCCAGCCCAGATGCCACTGGGAGGATGTCCTGGGTCAGGGTGGCCACGGTGGCCACTGCCTGGAGCTGTCAGTGTGCAGAGCACCCTGCTCATCCTGGGGCTGAGCCAGTCCTGCAGCAGGGATGGGGCTGGCATGCTGAAGGGAGGGTGAGGAGGAGCCAGGGAGGGCTGAGCAAGTCCTGCGGGGTGAGGTCTGGATTTTGGAAAAGCTCTGCCCCTGCAAGCACACAGCCTGAGCTGCTCCTCTGCTTGCTAAAGTGTGGGGTGTGCTCGCCAGTCCCATCCCCAAGGGCTGCTCCAGCACTGTGGGATTTTATAGGATGTGGGCAGGTGGTCTCAGTTTGAGGCAGCATGAAGGGCAGGGCAGGAGAGTTTGGCCCCTGCACCCTCACAGCTCTGTCAGTTGCTCTGAGAACCACAACTTCACTAAAGCCCCTGAAAATGTGGTTCTCCCTCTCTTCAAGCCTCCACATGAAAGGGCTCTGTGGATAGACATTTGCCCTTGTAGTTAAAATCTTTAACTTATTTTCTCTTAAATATTAATCATTGCATTTCATTCCGTGCACCACAAAGCTCAGCAGGAGCATTTGATTTATAATTCACAAGGCTTTACATTGTTAAAGAGTTCAGGGGTCAAAGCAAAGAGCAAAACAGTAATGCCCCCTCCCAAAGGTCCCCCAGGAGTGGTCCAGGCACACATTTAAGGGACAGACACCAAGCCAGCCCATGCTGGCAGGGTTTCTACTGGGCTGAGCCCTGGACAAGGAGTGTCTTCTAAAAGAGTATATTATTCTTTTATTGTAATGAGAAGGGGAGTTCTCCCTATAAATCAGTGCAGGGAGTCCTATTTTCTATTGCCATGCATCAGTTTGCCACCCTGGGCCCAGCCAGTCAGGGCACCTCTTGAAAATCCAAGAGAAAAATGCTCCTGTGACACCGAGGGGTGCCAAACATTTATGATCATCAGAACATGCTGTCAGTAGTTACCCAGTTCCCTCCAGCCTAAGGGCTCTCATTAGTGCCAGGGAAGATATTTCCACTAATTCCTGATAAGTAGCAGCTTTTCCTTTTAAAAGATCGTTTGAAAAGAAAGATTAAGTCCAAGGCTGCAAATAAAACTGTTAACTATTGATGGGTCAGTCTGTATTTCCATTTATCTGACTGACTGCAGGAGGATTAAAAGGAGAACACCAGATTGCTTCCCACTACACTCACTGCAGCTCTTTGCAAACCCTCTCAGGCTAAGGATGCTCCAGACTTCAGCTCCACTGACCTCCAAGGAAGCAAAAGACACAAACTGCAATCAGCTCCCTGCATCTCTTGATTCAGTCAATACTGAGCTGAAATCTTTCTATTCTGGGCACCAGCAGTATTTCCTTGTAGCGTACGCCTGCCATGTGCTGTAACACTTGCAAACACCGTGTACAGCCGTGAATGAGAGCTACACAAATGCAAAACATGGATTTGCCTCCCTGTCCCTGCCTCACCCCAGCCTGGCCCGGCTCTCGCCTCCCAGAGCAGAAACCAGCACTCACAGCACTGTCCCTGAGCAATTCCCTGGTGAAGATTCGAGCTAAGAACAGCAATTATAAACTGCAAGGTATTTGTTTAGATTTTTTGGGATGGGTTTGGGAAATACCACTGTATTTATAGCCCTTTCTCCCCCATCTTACACCACTGCTGTTCTCTCCAGAGGACTAAAGAGTTATAAGAACGAAGCAGAGGAGGAGCAGCCAGGCTGAGGTGAGCAAGGAGCCCACCCAGCACCCAGTGCACAGAGCAGGGGGTGGCTGCAGGAGAAATCCAGGCTCCAGCCCACCCTTAGGACTGGAGTGGTGTGGGCTGGGAGGCCATCAAGGTAAATTTTCAGTGCCTCTCTCACCGAGAGTGACACGTGGCCACTTTCCTGCTGAGCATCCCCTTATGGTCAGTGGAAAGTGGACTCAGCAAGAAATGGCCCTTCCATCGCCGGTGCTGGGTGGTGACTTGACACCTATCGACGTGCAGGGGGAGGGAGAGGAGCCCGCAGAGGATGTGAGCCGAGTTCTGCTCCCCCTGCTCTAAGGAAGTGCTGGGCAAAAATCGATGTCTCTGCCCACAGATCATTACAGCCCCCGAGCCCTGCAGAGGGGAGGGCCAGCAGCTCACACCAACCCAGGGCAGCTCCTCGCTGCCAGCCTGCTCTGGTGCCTTCTGGTGTCCTGTTATCCTTTCTCTTCAGGTTTTTAATTATTTCCTTGTAACAGGTGGGTTCTCATAGGAGCCTGGCTTTCCAGCAGAGAAGTTCTTACGGTGACTGTATTGCTTTCTTAGGTGTCTTTCAAAACAGCAGGGGACTGTCCGTGCAGTTAAACTCGCGTTACTCAGAATTAAGCGCAGCCCAGCGGGGCTCCTGCCCTGCTCAGACAGCTGCAATCAAAACTAAAGGCACACACACAGCCCTCCGTGCCCAAGGCAGCCTGGCAGGGGTGAGCTGCACCATGTCCCCGTGCAGGGCAGGCCAGGAGCAGAGTCCTGGTGACAGTCAGGACCTTGTCAGACAGCGAGTGTGCCCTGCCAGGCTGCACAGCCCACGGGATCACGCACTGCCCTGCCACAGCTCCAGCAACACTTCTGCACAGGGGCCTCAAGAGATGGCAGGAATTATTTGGAGGACCGTCCTTTGAGTTTTATAGCAATTCTGGTCACATCTGGCTGCTTTCTTCTGATTGGGAAGCGTTTTGCTGCTTATTAAAGTCAAGGGTTTTGCTTTTTCCACAGTTTCTGAACCTGTTCCTATTCATAGCAATGCCTTCCTGGCAGGTTCACCTGAAAAATGAATTGTACTTTGCCTCCTGGCAGGGCAGGGGGAATGGTGGGAGCAGGAAGACAGATGGATAAGTAAATAAAAGCCTGAATGAAACTGAAAGTGTGACTGAAGACTAATAGGGAACAGATCTTTTAAACCAAGGATGTCGAGGGAGGGGTGAGACTTCAAAGATCACAGGCAGGGCATGCCACAGAGCAGCTGAAAGTGGATTTCAAAGGAGAGGGGTTTGCAGGGCAGGCCCAGCTGGGAAATGGCCAAGCTGCACATCCCCATGGGGCAGAGGGGAGACGTGGTGCTCCTTCACCTTCCCACCCTCCTGGGCAGGAGGAGGAGGAGGGTGGCACAGCTGGCAGGCTGCTCCCAGGTGCTGAGATGCTCTGAGATGCTGAAGCACTTCTTTGAGCAGGGACCTTTGGGAGTTTCACTTCCAAGCGTCAGCGTTTTGCACACAGGATAAAAAATTCCTCAGGTTTTGTGGGGAATTCACACACAAGGTGTGCAGCGGGGAGCAAGCAAACACCAAAGCCCAGCCCAGCTCCTTGCAGCTCGAGGGGTTTCCAAATCATTCCAGCAGAAACAAGGAGAGGTGTCCATAACAGGCTGTCATTATGGGATGGCTTTGCTGCTCCTTGACATCCCAGTGAGGGCACAGGGAACCCCCCTTGCTGCAGGAATGGGAGTTGTATCTCCCCCCAGAAGTGTCAAGACAGTATTTCTTGTTCTGACAACACTCTTTGATGCAGGGCTGAGCTCTCAGCCCATATTGATGGGTCAGGGGTATTTTTATTTGGCGTCAGCATTGTTTCATCAGCTAATAGAGCTTGTTGACTTTGGCACGGGTACATGAAAGGAAAAGGCTTTATTTATTCATTACACATGCAGCCAAATTGGATGTTTAGTTTAATTCTTAGCTAAACTTTTCTGAATGACATGTGGTTATAAGGCTTGTTCTAAAGGACTGTTTCTCCTGTGGGCTGGGTGCTAAAATTGGAAAGAGCAGACAAACCTTTGGGCTAAGAAACCCTTTTCCCTGCATTTTTAGCCCGTCTCATACAACTCTACCCACCTATATCTTTGTACACCTGTTTAGGTGCAAACAAGGGATTGTGGGTTTAGAGATGATTAAAAACCAAATATTTTAAAGTAAGAAGGGAAAAAGACTTGCTTCAGCAATGCTCTTCCAAAAGCATTTTTAAAGATGCAGCATGTTCTGGTGGTTAAAGGATGGATTCACCCCTTCTGGTACCCTGAGCAGAGACCCACAGCCCCTTCCCAGCCCACCAGAGTTCTACCTGGTTTTGTGTAGAACCAGGGGGCAAAGCACAAGGTATTCTCAGCTTTTTGACTGCCCTAGGGTTCAAGGATATCCTTTGGGCTGAGCAGAGCCTGTATACAAGTCCAATGGAAAATCCTTTCCAAGAAAAGCGGATATTCTCCCTCCTCCTTGAATAAATCAGCGCTACCCACTGCTGGTGGCAAACCCATCCTTGGCTGTAGAACTCCCCTCTGCCCTTCATTGTGGAACCTCTATGGCACTGGGGACGATCACTTTGCCTTTATGCCAGAATTCAGCAGCACAAGAAATTCACTCTGTGCTGTCAGATCACCTGTACACCCCTGGTGGGGTTGTAGGGAGAGAAAGAAGTGACTTTCTTTTCCCAGCTGCAAGGTGCTAACAGCCCCTCTTCCCCCCTGGAAGCCTCCAGCCCCTTAAATTAACACCTGGAAAATGCTCCCCTTTCCTTGAGGAAAGCCTGGAAAAGACAACTTGCTGCCATTTCTACCCAGGGGAGTCTCCCAGTCCACCCCTTGCACCCATCGTGGCACTGCTTTTGAGTGTGGGAGAAAGAGCTGGAGCCTTTTGGTTCTGTTCCCACCCTTAATCACTCCTCAGCATCAGGGTTGCTGCAGAGGACACTGTTTCAAGTCAGGATCAGTGGCTCCTTGCCCTTGGGGCCAGACCCTTGGGTTGTACATTATTAGCTGCTCAGCAAATTACACACTGCTCTTCTCCTGCCACTGAGGCTACTTCAGAGTGCAGCAGGATCTTGGTGTTTTAAAAGGAAAGGCTTCACAGAAAAATGAAAGAATACAATTCAGCTTCAAATTAGAGAGTGCTGAGCAAACTG